TTAATGGCGGGCCCGATTCGACGCGATTTCGAATCACGATTTAATCCTATTTTCGTAACAGGGAGGAGGGAGAATAAGAGTAAGAAAACATCGAGAGCAAAACACATACATTTGAACATCGGGAACGATTTTAAATTTGCCGCGCGAGAAAGGTGAAAGGTAAAAGCTGTCTCATAAAAAAAACCCGGCGGTGACGGTTTTTTCACGGTCTCGCGGTTGTTGCGAAATTATACCTTTGATGTTGAACTGCCCGACTATTCTTTTGAAACAAAAGGGCCGGATTATCGAGATCTGAGTTGTTACGAAATTATACTTTTCACGTTAACTGCTCGACTATTTTTTTTTTTGGAACAAAAGAAAAAGATTATCGAGATCTGAGTTGTGTACAGAATTATACTTTTAGAAAAAGGGGAGAGTTTCAAGGACTGGATTGTCACGAAATTATACATTTGATGTTCGGCCATATTAAGAAGAAAAAAGGGAGGGTTATCGAGGATTAAAAAGTTGTTACAAAATTATACTTTCGATATTAACTGGTCGACTATTTAAAAAGGAAAGGGGATGAAGAATTATAAAGATTACCTGAATTGTTACAAAATTACTGCTCGATTATTTAAAAAAAAAAGGGGGGGGGATTATCAAGAATTGAGTTGTTACAAAATTACTGCTCGACTAACTTGAAAAGAAAGAGAAGAAGGGGAGAAATTAAGATTGTACCTGCAAACATTTTCGAGACTCGTTGTCGGCGTGACAGTCACACTCGACGAAGTCTCGGACGACGTCACAGCTGGATAGACCGGGAAGCCAGGGTATCCAGAATAATCTGAGGAGATCCCAGGGTGGTAACTAGCGGAGCCAGCCTCGATCGAGGCCGTGATCGCGGCTGCGATCAGCAGCAACCGCCGGCACATCAACATGCCCCCTCACCCTGAAAAAATATCAAGCATATTTCAACAATTTGTCGCGCAATATTTTTCTTTCTTTCCTTCGTTAAGTTAAATTTATCTTAGATAATCTTAGGTAACTTTCCTCTCTTTAGATCCAACATTCGTAAAAATAAATCCAACCTTAGCAGTTTGATTCTACAGGGTGTCTCGATATTGGTGGTACAATTTCGAGTCGAAAGAGAGGACAAAATTTCCTTCATCGAAGAATAGAATTTTCTTCGTTAAAAAGTGTAAGAATAAACGTCTTTTAATGAGATGCTTCGTTTTCGATAAAATTCGAAATTCGAAAATTTCGATCGAGTATACTGCACAGAGACGAAGACATTCCATCTGCAAAAGCTTTAAAAAAAAAAAAAAAGTGAAAAGCATGGAAATGTTTTCGTTGGGGGGTCTGATTTTCAAGAAAATATATATTCGTTGAGAATTACGTGCTTGATCGAATTTTCAAACTCGAAGACGCCTCGCAAACGAATTCTATTTTACAGTTCTTTTTTTTAGAATTTGGCTAAATTCAAGTGTACGTGATAAATCTTCTCGAAGGCAGCGAAGGCTTTAATGAAAAACTTTTTACTCTCTCTTCTCCCCTCGATTTGACTTTACATAGGATGTTCTTCTACTCGATTGGACACCCTGTATATTCGTTAATAAACGAAAGCGTCCTCTCTCTCTCTCTCTCTCTCTCTCTTGCAAATACGATGTAATATTGTTTCATTTACCTTTGCAATTTCATTGTTGTTCGTTTTTCCTTCCACTTTATCGTTAACTGCTTTTTCTTCCCCATTGAATAAACAAACAAATAAGATCTTCTGTCTGTGTTATCTTACTTTATTGATTCTTTTTTACGTACCTTTTCTACCCCATCGAATAAATAACTAAATGAGATGTTTTTGTCTTATTTTTTACTTCATTGCCATCGTCATTTTTTTGTATGCACCTTGTCCCCCCCCCCCCCTCCCTTCCCCATAAGTAAACAAGCAAGTGAACGACCAAGTAAACAAATCTCTAACATTGTCAGATTGGATCGCGAATTAAGCGTATTTTAACGCGAGACACACACACACACACACACACTTATTAAAACATGGGTGAAGCAGCAACCCCCGAACAACAGAAGCCAGAAACTCGCTGAGATAGCAGCCGGGATTATGCTAATTCCATTCAGCCGCTTATTTGTCCCTGAAACCTGGGGAGTGTGTCGTTACATCTCCAGGTTACAAATAGTCGGTTACAGTTTATCCCATTCCCTTTCTTTCGTTTCTCCTCTCTTCCCTGAGAGCTGTGTGTCTAACAAAACAAAGGGGCGAGGGGGCAAGATGGGAAACTCCCCCCCCCCCGTCGAGGTGGAAAAAAGTGCAACTCATGAAAAAAA